ATAGAATATAATCTAGTATAGTTAGAATACCTTTCATCAAACTGCCAGTTAACTGATACATGCAACAAGACTTGGACTTGAGGTCAAGAGACTTGAGACTTGACTTGGATTTTTGGTCAAAGACTTGGACATCTCTGTTCCTGCCTCAGACCTCGTTAACAGACCCAGATCATTTAATAAAAGGTCTCAATAGAAACCTGATCTAGTTTAGATGAAATTAGAACGTGTCTTATTTGTGACTAACCCATTTCTTCATCAAATGTTATTTTAGGAACTAATTATGAATTTTGTTTTTTAACCAGGTCTCCAACTGGTTTGGCAACAAAAGAATTCGCTACAAGAAAAACATCGGCAAGTTCCAGGAGGAGGCCAACCTTTACGCCATGAAGACCGCCTTGGGGGCCCGACAGGGGGACGACTCTCCACACACTCCAAACTCAACAGGTACCGAGTTTCTGCCTCCCAGTGGAAGACAGAATCTGAAAATTCCCCGTCAACAGGCTGAAAAGTGAATATTTGTCCTCCTGGTCTTGGTTTCTGTTCAGGGTCGGGGTCGTTCTCTCTGTCCGGCTCAGCTGACATGTTCCTCGGGGTTCCATCTGTGAACGGAGAGCAGTCTGCCTACCAGATGCAGGTAATTCACAACACTTTTCTGTTTTCTGCTTCATCTGTAAATGGCTTTAATGTATGGAGGACCGAAACTGACATAATTGGAAATAAAAGCAGAAATATATAAACAGACTAATAAATAAATAAATACACTTAAAATGCACCAATTAAATTTAAACAAGAACAACTTTAGCTCATGTTTTATAATTTAATTGACCTTCATGTTTTATTTTTGCAGCTTAGTTCAAATAAATTACATATTTTAGAACATACCGTAATTTATTTAAAAAAATGTTTTTTGTTTTTCTTTTTACTTTTAGATGCATTTGTGTCTCTTAAATGATTATATTTAATTATGCTTTATATATTTTTTTACCTTATGCATTTCTGCCTCCTTATGCAAATAAAGTGGGTGGGGCTTATTGGAGCTCCTCTCCTATTGGTCAACAGACAGGAAGGAGCAGGATCCATGTGCAGATCTACTGTGCTGCCTGAATTCAGAATAAAGTTTAAACTAAACTTTAAACTAAATGAAGGTCAATTAAATGATAAAACATGAGTTAAAGTTTTCCTTTTTTAACTTAGTTGGTGTACTTTAAGAGTATTTATTGGTCCATTTATATATTTCTGCTTTTATTTCTAATTATGTCAGTTTCAGGCCTCCATATTAAAGATCAAAACCATCAAAAAATTGGAAATCCATCTACGCTGAAGGCTCATATTGCTCCTCATCAGCTGTACATTGGTGTTAATTAAGCCGGTTTTACAAACCAGTCATGTTTCATTGATTGTGCTCACAGAAAACCACTTTTGCTGTTTGCGTTCATCAGTTTGGTGATTTATTTTAAAAAAAAGATCCAAGTAAATCCAGAATGATGACAACAAACAAGCTCATTCAGTTTAATTTGGATTACCTTTCCTGTAATAAGTGAAATAATCTTTTAAAAACGTCACTTTGTTTTTACTCTGATTACCTTTATATTAACTTTTGTTTTATGAAAGATTTAAGAGCAACAAAAAACACAACTAAGGATTAACTTGTCAGAGCAGAATGTTGTGTGTCCCTCCTCGGCCCCGTCACCAGCTCTGCTGGTAAACGAACGAAGGAAGCAGAAACCCCGTGTTTCAGTTTCACTCTGCGAGTTACTGGATCAGTCAGGGGATTTTGTTTTGACAGCGTTCGTCAACAAACAGGTGATGAAAAGTGTTTCTGTGCGAAACTTGTTGAAACCTGTTTTTATTTGGTTTATGGATGAATCGTGCGGTCGAGTGGAGCCACGATACGAGATGTGACTCTCTGTGTTCGTCTCTCTCAGGCTAACGGAAACTGGCAGAGCCGGGGCTCGCCCCCCTCCGGCACTTCTCCCCACAGCGACCAATCAGAAAACTCCGACTGATGGCCCCGCCCACCGGCACAGAGCGACCGACAGACTGAGGAGGGATGAGACGATGAATGAAACCACACATCCCACTCAGCTGCAGTTGTTTTTGTATATTGTTTGTTTGGTTTGGTTCTTTATGTTGTTTTATTTGTTCTGTGTGTGTGTGTGTGTGTGTGTGTGTGTTTTGTGTGCATGCAGGTTTGGTTTTCTTATTGAGGTTGTGGAGTTTGTTTTTCACTACATTTGACACGTTCCTAAAAGTAAAACGTGTTTGTGACGGGGGAGAAGCGAGGGGCGGGTCTGCATTATCTTTGTTTTTAGCACATTATATCATTATTATTATTATTATTCTAATTATTATTGCTTTTCTTCTTAGTGCAACAAGTATTTTCATTTTATCAGCTCGGACAAGAGAGAGAATGCTTTTAGTGAGTGAGAGGGCAATAGAGAAAAATCCAAAGACTTTGTGTGTTTGTTTTTCCGTCTTGTTTATTCTGTTGTGTTCGGGCTTGTTGGTCCCTGTAACATGAACGGTGTGTGCCTGAGTCCATATTAATGGGTTGAATGAGTGTTGACAGTGCTGTCTTTTATTTTTCTGTACAGTGAAACACCTGTATTCTCTCTACCTCTTTTACAATAAAGACTGTATTCACAAGCAGCTGCTGGTCTCAGTTTCATTCGGTTCTGGACCCAGAGTGACGGATCCAGGGAGTCCGTTCATGATTTATCTTAAAACACAAGGATTGTCTTAAGTTTTATTTGTTAAATTCCTATTAAGCTCACAGTCAGATAATAAATATCCTGTAATTCCAAAGTTTTAAGTCTTTAAACTACAACTTTAAAGTGCCTGCCATGTCATATTTTTATAAATAATATAAATATAAATGCATTTTTGGAAAGGAAAGGTAACGGCGTATTGCCAGAAAAAATCCCAACTGAGAGAAACAGTAGTGATGTCAAAGGGAAATGTTTTTTTTTATTGAACAACAAAGAACACAAAATAATACAATGTACAAACAATAAGGCGTATTTCAAACAAACAAACTTGCATATAAGAGAAAAGGATGGGTGCAAATAAAGAAGTTTAAAAATAAGAAGGAACAAAAAAAGGCTAGGGTTTAGATGTTAAATCATACTCTTCATTATAGAGCATAGATTGTGGGCATGTTTAGTGCGCATCACTTTAAGAGAATTGCAGTACAAAATAARGTCATTGTGAAAATGATAGAAATTTGGTTTAACCTTAAGATATTTAGCTTTATGGATGAAAAATTTCCCCAGAATGATAATAGTGTTGATGAGAAAGTCACTGTTGTTATTGTCCATAATAAGTCCATAAATTATATTGTTTTCAGAGAACATTTGGAGACTGGGAACTTTGGGAAATAACCAGTCAAACATATCAGACCATAATGTTTCAACATATGCATTGAAAGAAAGGGAAATGTTTGTAAACAGCATTGCTACAACAGCTAAGAATTTGATGTTTCTTTAAATTGTTTTGAGTCACTATCAGAGAGATGAAGAGTCAGAGTTTAAATAAGGTTTCAGTAAACAAAGAGTTCCTCTTGGATGCAGGGACGTTAGAGCAGTGATGGTGGGTGCAGTTCCGTGTTCGAACACGAGAGGCGCTAATGAGTCAAAATCCAGCATGAATCAAGCTTACAGAAGTCTGAACAATCCTGCAGAAAAAGTCTTTCAATTGATAAATGATGGCTGGATTTTCTCACAATCCTTGTATTTTTTTAAATAACATTAAATTACAAGTGTGTGAACACGTGTGGTTAAATGTAAACACCTCACAATTTGTGTGCAAGGATGTTGAACAAATTCTTGCAGGTTTGCCACTGCTTTGATGTCACTTCCTGTTTTTTTGGTTTCTTTAACTTTTTTGTATTTGAAGGATGATGCAGACACTTTCAGAGGACAAATTAAAAATATATGTTTTATATTTGAAAACCTTTATCCAGTCCCTGATCCATCCTCCTTCAGCTCTACTGCTCAGGGTTCTTTCTCGTTAGAACTTTCATCAGTCTGCCTCTCATGGTTGTGGAGGAGTTCTGACCCACTCTTCTGCAGCCTTGCTTCAGATCTGCAGACACTGCTCGGCTCTCTGAAGGTTCTGGACTCTGGACTGTTGCACCATCATGGTCCTGCTGCAGCGTGTCTGGTTGGACAGGTGACCTCATGGTCCACTCAGGGACTGCAGGGATCCGAACCATCAGCCCTCACCGTGCTGACAGCTGCTTTTATGAGCTTCTCTTATAATCTGATTTTAAAAACACGCTAAGATTGATGAGATTAAATTAACTCTTATTTGTTTTCTGTTGGATTTTAAAGGCATTTAGGAGTCACAATAATCATGATGGGACTGAAAAAAGTAAAAAGCCTAAGGTTTAGCTGATGTCTTATACAAAGTATTTTAATCTTAAAGGCTGACGCGTGCGCGCCTCGGGGCTTTCCCACAGCGCATCAAAGGCTTTCCAAAGACAAAGCTGGACCGTTTGATGAGGGCGCGTGAAGAGAAGGGGAGGGAGGGGGTGTCCGGTGGCACGTGTGGCCTGAAGTGACACCCATGTGACGACGGCGCGTGCGGAAACAGAGGTGAGGATGGAAACGCGTCGGCACCCGCCGGAGCGCACGCTGCTGACGCAAAAAAAAAAAAAAAAAGTTATTCAAGCACTGAAAAACATCAGTTTGGCACTATAAGAAATTAAATATTGTGAGGATATTTAGAGGAAAACATGTTTAAAAAGTGCAAACTCCATCATAAATGATAAACGGATGAGTGTGATTATGGAGCGACAGTCATTTCTGATCATAGTCCGCTCATAATGAAACAGAATGTTCCTGTTACACAATCGGTCTATCGTCCTTGGCGACTTAATCCRATACTTTTATCTGACGAAGACTTAATTAATATGCTTGCTTCTGAAATTAATTTTTTTACTGATGTTAATCGGACTCCCGGGATGCCACTCGGCACTGTGTGGGAGTCATTAAAGGCTTACCTGAGAGGTCAAATAATCTCTTACTGTGCAAATAAAAAGAAGAAAAACATCAAATGGCTAAAATCACTAACAGATCAGATTTTACAATTAGACAGGGAATGCTGCCATGCTTTTACACAAGACTCACTTAAGAAACGTACATTACTCCAAACAGAGTTTAACACCTTATCTACCCAACAGGACGAATATTTATATCCAAATCTAGGTATGGCTACTATGAGCATGGTGAGAGGGCTGGACGCTTTCTTGCACAGCAGCTACGGCATCGCTCAGCTAAACAGGATATCTCTGCTATAAATGATAAGCATGGTGTAAAAYGTTGTGAGAATGCAGGAATTAATCTGTGTTTCAGCAAATTTTACCAATCTCTGAATACCTCCGAAGCCTCACCTAACCCTACTGAATTGGATGATTTTTTTAAAGATATTAAAATCCCTTCACTAAGTTCTGACCTATCTAACAAGTTGGAAAGATGTTTCTCTTTGGCTGAGATAAACTCTGCAATTAAAAACATGCGAAATGGAAAATCTCCAGGACCAGATGGTTTCCCGGCAGAATTCTTTAAGAAATTTTCGGATCTACTT